CGTACATGAAAATATTTATAAAATAGAGCCAGATCGCCAACTTTTCTACGGTGTTCCAGAGAAGTGAGTGAGTTTGTGAGCGAGGCATCGCCCACAAGGCGAATTGCCCTTTTTTGACAGAATCCAACAGTTTCAGGGTATGTTTGGGTGATGCACTCCAAATATGGGAACAGTATACCATGACATGTCGGATCTGTGCCTTATAGATCATTAGCAGCTGACTGGAAGTGAAATAGCTCCTGGCCCGAAACAGAAAACCAAGTTTTTGGGATGTACTTTTAGCAATTGATCTCACGTGATTTTCCCAAAGAAGGTTATTGCTGATAGTAATACCAAGCATCGAAATGGATGTCTTCAAGGGTATGGTTACTCCTGAAAAGCTTATGTTGGGCACAGTGAGATTGGCTTTTCTAGAGTAAAGGCATGCTTGTGTTTTGTTTGCATTGAAATCTACCAAGTTATTGGTTCCCCATTCGAGAAATGTTGCCAAGTCCATAATAATGTTGTTAAAACATTTCTTCCTCGTTCGTTTCTGATTTGCCTGGCTGGTATTGGAGCCCTGGAAGAGAAGGCGGTATGGAGAGTACTATCATCCGCGAACCTGTGTACTGGACATGAAGTTGCTTTCAACAAATTGTTGATATGGAGTAGAAATAGTGTTGGTGTTAGATTTCCTGTCAAATCAATCATAGCCGTTGATGGAAAATTTAAATAGGGTATAGACACCCACTTCAATTTATAGCGATACGGAACTTTTCGCAGAACAACAGTGAAAACTATAGTGAAAAGAATGCATTTTAATGTGAAATAGACACATTATAATATATGGATAAAGTCATAGCTAGTTCGGTCAGTAACGCTATTCAATGATATATCACGTTGCAATCTAATTCCTCTGTTTTGTTTTCGAATTTCACGTAGTTTTGAAATCAATTCCTTTTTTCCATGATAGTTTTGTTTTGCATTCCGTGTGATGATAATCGTGCGTGATGATCTTAAAATCTTCTGTTTGAAAATGGACCTAAAATATAGTTTCAATTCAAATCTGCTGTAATAGAAAGTGAATTATAATGTATGTACCTGCCTCACAAATTTTGCTTGTCTTCAAATTGATTTTATATTAATATTTTCAGGCCGTTTCATAAATATTAATGTCACCATTTATTCGACGTATCGCCAAATGGCGGCGTGACGGTACGTTTGAAATGAGCTCTGTAATTCAAGGATTTTGAACAACGCATACACTCATTATTTACATAAGAATAACCTGGGAAATGTTACAAAAATTAATTTAGGTCCCTAACGAAACAGTGGAGTAATTGAATGCCAATAATCAATATCAGTCCACTCGCCCAGCATGAATGAAGTTTGCTACATTTCGGAGATATTATCATTCCTCAAACAAGAGTCCACCTCTTGTAATCCATTTTTTCAAGCATGCTGGAAACTACTTGCTTGAACATTTTATAATGATAGAAGAAGTCTACCAAAGCCTGAAAGTTGATATTCGATGGCCAAACCAACTGAATACATATCCTGGTGTTCAATTCGTAAAATGGAACCAAGTAACTTTGGGATCCTCAATGGTCTGAATAATACATCACAAGCTTCTGCAAAAAAGCACCAAGTAGCGTGGGCTGCTCACAGTGGACTACAATTTATCACCCTCCAGACGGCACAAGATCTCCAAATTGTTGGATTTTCGTTGTGAAATTGCGAAGATGCACAATTTGGTTCTCATAATGGTAATATCTTGTTTTTTTCACAAATAGTCGGTTGGTTTCATGTTTAAGGTGGTCCAATTAATTTTAGTGAAATCGAGTTTTCAATGTATCAAACAATAATTGTGAATACATACTGATTTCATGACATTTTCTTATACTTATCTAGTTTTTCAGTCAGTATGAAGTGGTATAAAAGAAAATCCAGTATTTCAGTCGCCCTTCTGGAGGGTTTTCCCCTTTCTAATTCGTATTTTCCCACAGCCTTTTATCTTTGTTATTTTGACAAATGTTATTTTCCAGGAGTCGCCAGATACATTCATAAATAAAGCAAATGGAACTATCGTCTTTCTCGAAATTGCATCTACCAATAGCGGAAAGGCGAAACTTTCTTTTATTTTGGAGCCGTCTAGGGCTGGGACGCAAGTCAATTCTCCCAAAAGGAATGGAGAAGGTATAGTGCTTGCAGAAGGAAAGTTTCAGAATCAAAATTAAAATTGTAATGCTGTTATTTATACAGGGTGTTTCGAAATTAGCCTGCCATACTCCAGTTGCAGATTCTTCGACCAAAAACAGGAAGAAAAGTTCCCGTAAACATAAGTCAAAAACTGGCTCCTGAGGGAGTTACGGACTCTTTGAAGGGGGTTCCTGAATATGAAATTTCCTTAATATTTCCGAAAAGCCATGTGATGAAATGATGAAATCTGGTACAAGGAATAAAATGTCTTTGAACAATGCAGTGAGAATATGATATCATTTCAAAATTTCATTTTGGCGTGTTCGAAACACGGTGGGACTTCATCAACCCATATAGCACCAATACGTCCCCAACACGTACTGTGAACGTCCGGCTAAGACGTTTCGTACGTACTGAGGACGTCCAGATTAGAACTGTAGACGTACTAGGTACGTACTGGGGACGTTCAGATCCCGCGCATATGTACATCCCCAGTATACGTCCATTCAGGACCATGAATACCGAATCAACGTAAATTCGCTTTTTTCCACTCTGGTAGGTGAAAAAGATCTTATTTTGAATAAAAAATTAAAAAAAAAATGCGCTCCTACAGAACACATTAATATATCAGTATAGAACAAGACAGATTATGTGCCAATGTCGATTGATACTGTCATAGAATTAGATCACGGCAGAGAGACCTATAAATAGATGTTTTGTGATTAGGTACGGTCAGTGAAAAATGAATTGTGAGAATTGTATTATGTTCATGTTTGCAAGGTTCCTACATGAATAGATATCAGAGATCGGAGATTGAAATTATATGCACTGATCTCAATTATCATATTCAATTCATTCAATCCTGTCCACGAAAACGTCCAACTATAACGTCCAGATTTGGACGAACTTAGTACATCGGAATCGTACGTACCCAGTACGTTTAGAAATGGACGTTTTCAGTACGTCTTGAAAAGGTCCCGGACGTTCAGACCTAAATCCGACCTAAAATGGAACTTTTTTGTATGCCTATTTTTCGACAATTCATTCTCGGATTATGAAAATCCACACTTTTTACGAAAAAAAGTTGCTCCTGTTTCGTATCGATCAGATGTATCATTTTCGAGCGGAATCGATTTATAGTTATTTATTATACAAGGGAAAAAAGTTGTAGATTTTAGCTCCAGGTTGTGTTGTCTCCCGACGCGTAGCGGAGGGAGACAAAAAACCGTGAGCTAAAATCTAATATTTTTCCCGTGTATAATACACTATTTTTTTCTGTGACAGAAGGAAGGACGAATCAATATTGAGAAGATATTACATTATTTCGAAATCTGAAAATTATCGACGTGAAATTTCAAGTTTTCAACAGTAGGGACACCTGCGTTTTATAGGCATCTTTATCATTCTTTTGAAGTAATCAAATATCTGATGTCACTTCTGTCAGTTCAATTCTGTGATTTGATTTTGAAAAATTGCGGATTCAGTAGTTGTTTAGTAATATACGAAACCGCGAAGTCGAATGGAAGATAAAAGGACATGCAGTTCTTTCTCGGAGACGGTATTATTGACTCATTTTTCGGAACTATAGCACAACAAAAGCCATTAACAGAGTATATATATGTGATATATATCCGGGAAAGAAGTACTCACTTTTTTCCCACGGGAAAAAAGTAATTTATGAAAAGTGACATTTTATAACCTGCAAACAGAGATGAAATGCCAAACTTTTTTCCCGTCACAGAAAAAAAAAAATTGTTACATCTCACATTTCATGCATAACGTTGCCAATTTTCAAATCATATACCAGAAATTAGCCTGCCATACTTCAACAGCGGATTCTTCGATCAAAAATAAGAAAGAAAGTTCCTATAAACTTGAATCGAAAAATGCTTCATAGGGGAGCCCTGAAGATGGATTTACTCGAAAACTGTGCATGCTAGTGGAGTTTATTGAGATCACCTGATTTCTGTAAAACATTCTGAAATTTTATGATTCAGCATAATATCTCGAATAAAAATATGCACAAATTATTTGGGGTAGTTCGTACACTACCTCCCCCCTAGTAACCTTACTTACGGGTGGAATTTTTATTGACTTCTACCCTATTGAGCATAAAATGTTCTGAGTATGTGCAGAATTTCATCATTTTGCTTCTACTGGTTTCGCAAATATCAAATGAAAACCATCTTCAGGGCATTTTTCGAGCAAAGTTCATATAGGAACTTTTTTTCTTATTTTTGAATGAAGAAGGATGGCAGGCTAATTTCGGGTATAAGATTTGAAAATTGACAACCTTGTGCATAATATTATGTGGGTGTAATATGATTTTCAACCATACGATGATAGAACACACTTTTTTGCGCCATCTGCTAGACAGAAGCTGAACTTTGTGAGAATTGAAATTGAAACATCTCATTTTACAGTGGTCTCCTAAATCTAACACAACCATCAGTATCAGTGTTTCAGAAGTCAATAAGATGGCGTAACTACACCCAATTCAAAAAATTGATACGTCGACGACCTTTTTATTATTTCTCCAATATTATCCTTGATAATTTTATGATTGAACTTCGAAGAAGAGGAAGTCATTGTATACTTATTACTTTTTCTGACGGAAGAATCGATGAAGCATATTAGTAATAACAAATAAATAAAATCTATAGATTACGAATAGTTTTATTCCATTACCAGCTGTTATTAGAAAGTAAATGACTGTATCATACAAGAAGGATGTAGCCACCTAACTTCTTACCTTGATAAAGGTGAAATTCCACTACACTAGGTATATGAACGATACTTCCAAGATCACAAGTGAAAGATAATTCCAACAGTAAACAGTCCGTTTTATTTTTGTTCCGTGCTCAGTAAAAATGTCTGTGCAATAATTGAAAATTGTGAAGAAAAATAGAAAATTAAAAGATGAATATACAAATAAGGGGACAGAATAACTGATAATCGGAAATACAACACAGAAAAGGTGAGACATCTATGAATCAGCTCTTTCTCAAGTAGGATGTCAATAATTCATAATACGACATACCTACAGAATAATACTATATGGGATATATTGAAAATTTAAACCCCACCCTGATGCATAACTTTGGAAATCAGGAAAATTTCACAAATTCACAAAAAATGAATATTTTCGAAAATATATAGGTATATGTATGGGTGTGTATTCCTATTCTGAGAACCTCTCTTGCTTTTATTCTATAATATGTTTATAAGTCGATCAAATATCGCAATAATCTATCAAAATTATAAAGTAATTGATATTCAACTAACACCTTGTTTGATTTTTCAGTTATTTCCTTCCTTTATAAATATGATTATTATCCTCGACAAACTGTTTTCAATTCATACAAAGTGTATCATTATAATCTAAAAAAATTACCCCAAAAAGTATTCGTTTCAAAGACCTAATCTATTAAAAATAAAACATTTTATACCTCCATTTTCGAAAACACCCTGTAGACCCCCAATTACAATATGTTGATAAGCTACAAGACGTTTATTGCTTAGAATTTCCAATGATGACATCTCGCATCTCGACTTGAGCATATAACATCTGTTTTTCGGGATCTCGCTTTGCTCGTCCCGCAAAATCCCATCGTCACAGAAAATGACGCATTTCTGAAATGGTTACGTAAATATCTATTCCGATGACTTCGTACTTTACCAAGTTTGATTGATGTCCAAAAAATTGATCGCAGATGTTTCCAAAAATGTTAGAATGGCATTTGAATATCGATTATACTATTGCTAACAGAATGGAATGCATTTTGAACATCTGATCGAATAAAATATCCTTTTAACAAAATTTATTCGACTTTATGTTTTTCGTACACCGTCTGTAGTGGGTGGAAAAAAGTCTGTACAGGTGAATACTATACAGGGTGTTATTTAAGTACGTGGCCAAACTTGAAGGGGTAGTTCTTTGAGTGATTCTAAGACGAAAAGTTCATATAAACAAAGGTCCGGTAATGTTTCGTTTTCAAGATACAGGGTGTCAAAATTTTTAAAAGAAATCGTTTTTTTCGTAAATATCTTAATAACCCTTCAACCGATTTTATTGAAATTTGGCAGTGTTATTCAAGGTCGTAAAGGGCTAATTTAACCCTAACTATATCAAAATTATCATGTCCAGTGGCGTCCCGGAAGGCACTGTAACCAATATTCATGACAGAAAAATGTGCGCCACTGATTTTTTTGCAATTTTTGTATTTGTTTCACATTGAAGAACTAGAATAGAGTATTAATATGAAAAAATATTAGAAAGACCCCAGTTTTTGATGGTTTAGTAGTTGAAATGTTTTATTGTGTTGTCACAGGGATGTGCCATGAAGTGATTTTTATGTTTTTTCTCAAAAACAAAGCAAGATACGAAAAAAATTCTAGATATAAAAAAGTCGTAATTTTAGTTGCTCAATGTGAAACAAATACAAAAATTGCAGAAAAATCAGGGGCGCACATTTTTTCTGTCAAAAATATTGGTTACAGTGCTTTCCGGGACGCCACTGGACATGATAATTTCGATATAGTTAGGGTTAAATCAGCCCTTTACGACCTTGAATAACACTGCCAAATTTCAATAAAATCGGTTGTAGGGTTATTAAGATATTTACGAAAAAAAACGATTTCTTTTAAAAATTTTGACACCCTGTATCTTGAAAACGAAACATTACCGGACCTTTGTTTATATGAACTTTTCGTCTTAGAATCACTCAAAGAACTACCCCTTCAAGTTTGGCCACGTACTTAAATAACACCCTGTATATATACTGACTCTGAGACCGTTCATTTGAGGTATCACAAAAGAGGTAGGGCGCCATTTGACATTTCAAAGTTGGGGGGTGTCGCGCCTACGGGGTGAATCCTCCCTTTACTGAAACATGGTGGTTCTAGTTCCCCCTAGCTCTTTAGCATTTTTTCCAAATGACGTTTTTCCACCTTGCTTATTATTTCGCGAGATATTCATCGCATTGAAAGTTTTCAAATTTACACCCTGTATATATATAGGCAATCAAACTCGTTTCACTGTTGGAATTATAACTTACGGAATCTGCCATTTGAATCATAAATATGGATTTCATCGAAGATTTGATGTTAATGATCAACTTTTTATACGTTTCCGAACCGATTTCAATCGAACATGAACGCTTTTGCTCGCATGTTGAAATATATCTCGATCATTAATCGCCATCTTTGATAGTGTACACCTTTTCCAATTGTATTTCAGAATTCAGAGAAAGCATCAATTCAATTTCAGGAAGCGTGAATTGTATTTCCAAATTGTCACTTGTATTTCAGATAGACACAAGATAAGAATCTTACTTTTGTTCCTCCTGCTGTCACTGATAACTCTGGTTTCTCAGATAATGTTTTTTGTTTTCATACAATTTTTATAGATACAATAAGATGGAATTGTTACCTTTGTTCCTCCTGCTGTCACCGATAACTCTGGTTTCTCAGATAATGTTTTTTGTTTTCATACAATTTTTATAGATAGGTACAATAAGATGTAATTGTTACTCTGTTTGGTCGCTAAACGGTCACAATCGACTTGGCAGCGATCCAGATTCCAGATTGCATCCAGATTCCGGGATTATGAACGCGAACTTGAACTCCGTTTAGTTTGTTAGGATTTAATTATAATTTTTAATTTTCGCGGCTTGTCTGATACGCTCTCAAATTGTATATGGTTTTTCGTTTTAGCTCATTTTCCACTCATTTATCATACAAATTCAATTTCCAGCGAGTTGGGTAATTTTTTATTTCTCGATAATTACTTCGGCTATCAGATGTTTATACAGGATGTTTAGGAAATTGGGGAGATAAATGGAATGAGTGAGAAACAAGATGGAATGAGGTTATCTCTTTTCGATCGTCTCCATCATGAATGAAAAAATATATTTTTATTATTCAAATATACCTGTAATGGACAAATCGGATAATTTGTCCCAAAATGCCACAGCATTTGGATTTTACCATTGATCCCGAATAACTGTATTTCATTTTGGATGAATCTCTCATCATTTGCATAAATATTGAAACAACCAATTCAGATAGATACTATCTTACACAGAAGCGGGGAATTAACAAAAAAAAATTTTTTTTCTGTGACGGGAAAAAAGTTTGGCATTTCATCTCTGTTGGCAGGTTATAAAATGTCACTTTTCATAAATTACTTTTTTCCCGTGGGAAAAAAGTGAGTACTTTTTTCCCGGATATATATCACATATATATACTCTGTTAATGGCTTTTGTTGTGCTATAGTTCCGAAAAATGAGTCAATATTACCGTCTCCGAGAAAGAACTGCAAGTCCTTTTATCTTCCATTCGACTTCGCGGTTTCGTATATTACTAAACAACTACTGAATTCGCAATTTTTTTTAAAATCAAATCACAGAATTGAACTGACAGAAGTGACATCAGATATTTGATTACTTCAAAAGAATGATAAAGATGTCTATAAAACGCAGGTGTCCCTACTGTTAAAAACTTGAAATTTCACGTCGATAATTTTCACATTTCGAAATAATGTAATATCTTCTCAATATTGATTCGTCCTTCCTTCTGTCACAGAAAAAAATAGTGTATTATACACGGGAAAAATATTAGATTTTAGCTCACGGTTTTTTGTCTCCCTCCGCTACGCGTCGGGAGACAACACAACCTGGAGCTAAAATCTACTACTTTTTTCCCTTGTATAATAAATAACTATTTTTGTTTGCATACAATTTTTATAGATACAATAAGATGAAACTGTTACATTTGTTCCTCCTGCTGTCATCGATAACTCTGGTTGCCCACATAATGTTTGTTTGATTGCATATAATTTTTATAGACACAAGATGCAACTCTTATCTTTGTTTCTGCTGCTGGCTCCTATAACTCTGGCGGAATATATCCCGCCAGGGCCGTTCTACAGGTGCCCCGAAGAAAAGCTGCTGCTGCATCCTTGTACCTGCGACGCCGAGTCCGACGACGGCGTCTATGTGAGTTGCAACAACACGAACCTGGCCAGCATGAGTATCGGCCTCAATAACCTGGCCACCTTCAGACTGCCCATCGAGAAACTGACGATTTTCAAGTGCAACATCGGTGAGAATGATTTGATACGAAACAATCAACATATTAGATGTCCTCATTTCATATGGTATATCGATGACGAATTCACCATGTATATTCGAGTAATTTTTCTCAAATAGGAGCTATGATACAGGGTTAGGCCGGTGAGGGTTAATGATTTTTTCAAGTTCAACTAGATAAGGTTACTTCTGTCATTTCAAGAGCTGGTTTTGCTAATTATACTTTCTCTTTCTTGCAATGCATTAGTTATTTAGGCGCTGAATTTACTTATCTCAGACAAGCCATCCCGTATATTCCTTTTATCTCATAGTGAGTGGAAAATTCTCGAAACACGTCGAATGATTTCGTTTTGGGGACATCTCTTGTGCATCTTTTGACGTATATTTTAGAGGGGTTGAGTGATAATTCATTTGAAAGGTCTTGGAAGCCTCTTCACAATGGTGTATATAAAACGTGAATTTTATGAACTTTTTTCGCCAAAAATCAATTTTGTACTTCGAATGAGTCACCTTGAATATTTTGGTTATTATTACAATGTACAAGCCCATTTTTGTTTAGCCCTTCTCACAAACTTGAACAATCTTCAACAAATCACATCCTTGAAAGAATTGGATTGTTTTATCATAAACACAATAAGAAAAAACCAAATCTGCGTGTTTAAATCAAATGTTCAAATTGTCCTCCAAAATATACGTCAGATGAAGATGTTTTGGGAAATTTTCCACTCACTATGGAATAAGAAATATACGGGGTGGCTCGTCTGAGATGAAACACCCTGTATATTCGTTTTAGTCCGATGTATTTAATAGGGTTACTTATCTCTGGTATTATATTGGTTATAAGCTTCAATTATTTGTGCCATGTTCTGTAGTGGTGAGATTTTGGTGATTTTATCTGATAACTTCTTTATTTCTATCAATAAGTTGTATCACAGTTAAAAATGGACATGAAAAGAAATTTCATTTTTTCTGTGACAGGAAAAAAGTTTGGCATTTCATCTCTGTTGACAGGTTATAAAATGTCACTTTTCATAAATTACTTTTTTCCCGTGGGAAAAAAGTGAGTACTTTTTTCCCGGATATATATCACATATATATACTCTGTTAATGGCTTTTGTTGTGCTATAGTTCCGAAAAATGAGTCAATGATACCACAGTTGAGAGATATGAAATATTCTCTCAACTGTGATAATACCGTCTCCGAGAAAGAACTGCAAGTCCTTTTATCTTCTAGGTGTCCCTACTGTTAAAAACTTGAAATTTCACGTTGATAATTTTCAGATTTCGAAATAATGTAATTTCTTCTCAATATTGATTCGTCCTTCCTTCTGTCACAGAAAAAAATAGTGTATTATACACGGGAAAAATATTAGATTTTAGCTCACGGTTTTTTGTCTCCCTCCGCTACGCGTCGGGAGACAATACAACCTGGGGCTAAAATCTACTACTTTTTTCCCTTGAATAATAAATAACTATTATTCATATAGAAGAGGCAAAAAGGAAGAAAATTTTATTCTAGAAGTTTAATAAGGAACAATCCTTATGGAATGTCAAATTTCAAGCAATGACAGCTCAGTGTAATAGATGAGCATTACTTGACAGGAAATCAGATGGCTGCAAGACGAAGAAATCGAAAATGCCGCTGTTATCTATCATAGTCGTAGAAAAATTATAGTGTATAACTTGCTAATGCTAATTTCCTACTCGAATGATTCCAGCATTCGCCTATTGCTCATGCTGCAAACTTCATTCTCTTAAGAAATCACTATCATTCCCTGCTCGTTAAAAAATATACTATTTCAATTCTCTTTCCACAGATATCAGAGACCTACCGTAAGATCTTTCAAAAAAACGCTGAGAAAGATACTTGTCGAAATGAGTCTCTACAAAATGAACCACTTCAATGAGTTGATCAATGACTGTTGTAGACAACTATAGTGCTTTTTCAAATTCATTTGATTTTATCACTTATACTTTTTCTATTTGTACCTATCTCTCCTATTCCATTGTACCATGTGTCCATAACTTGTATACCATACCATGGATGTGGTATATTCTATTCAATTTTATAACATAAGTAATTCGTTATACCGTCATTCAGCCCGCACATCCTATAGTCCCTATATGTTTAAAGACTTATACTTGGCTACATATAAATGACCCAATCTTCTCCTCATTTTGATCTCTAAAACCTACCACTTCTGTTGCTCCATGGCGAATAAATTACGGATTTTATTTACACATGTTCCCAGGTAGACTGTATGGTAGTCTTCTTTACAAACTCAAAGTGAAGATATTAGATATTGAAGATACTCCGATAGAAAAAATCGAAGACCATACCTTTTTGGGTGTCAATGCTACCCTGAATGAACTCCATCTCAGAAACACCAGCTTGAAAGAATTTCCGAAGCTGGCATTCAAGGTAAACATATTCTTCTGATATCGAAAGAACTCTCACGAATGTTCTTCAGATTTTGGGAAATCTAACGACCCTCAACATAGATGGCCACCAAATGACAGACCTTCCAGAAGACAGTTTCTCATCTAGCGGAATGACAGGCAGCCTATTCAAACTTTACATCACTCACGGAAATCTGACAACACCGCTGCCAGAAAGTCTGCAACCACTAAGAAGACTGAAAATCCTCGATCTGCATGGAAATCAAATAAAAAACTTGAAGCCCCACCAGTTCAAAGGCTTGAGGGATGTAGAGTCTGTGGATTTGAGTTTCAATGAAATACCCAAAATCGATGCATCACATTTAGCTGATCTTACGAAACTCTCCTTCCTCAATGTTTCACATAATCAACTCACAGAAATTACCAGGTAAGTTGAAAGGTATCCAGGACACACATATATTCTAAAACTTGCTTTCTAGAGGAGCATTTGCAAGGAACACAGTACTGAAACTGCTCAACATGAATTTCAACAAAATCAAGCGCCTCGATCAAAATAGCTTCAGAGGTATGCGGTTCCTGAGAAGACTTTACCTTTCTGATAATTTAATCTCCGATGTGGGACGTGGTACATTTGGATCATTAAAACGAATAGGGACCATTGACTTGGCTAGAAATCAGCTCAAAAAAATCGATTACCAAATGTTCTTCCAGCTCAACTTCATCGAAGTAAGGAAATGTACAGATGAACATTCCTCCTAACTCACCTTTTGTGTTCTAGGTGTTGGACGTATCAGGAAACCAAGTGACAGAAATCCAAAAACTAGCGTTCAAAGACATCTACTTGACCCACATAAACCTCTCGAATAATAAAATATCCAAAATCGAGGCAGGTGCTTTCGAGAACTGTGCTAACATCACCATATTGGATCTGTCCCACAACCAACTCGCGAATCTACACAAGGGAGCATTCGATGAAACCACCTATGCCACTGTCTTACAGCTTTCTTACAACCTTTTCACCAATCTATCCCAAGTGCCTCTGCACAACATGACCGGCATCAAAGTCCTTAACGTTTCCCACAATGCTATCACCTCCATACCAAGAAAAACATTCCCCAAGCTATACGAGTTACACACCATAGACATCTCCCACAACAACCTGAGAGAAATCCACAACGCGGTGTTCCAAACCTTGTTCTCCTTGAGGAACTTAAACATGAGCTTCAACGACATGGAGGTCATCAAATCTGGAGCTTTGGGCAGTTTGCCGACTCTGCTAGAACTAGACCTCAGCTACAACAGCATCTCTACTGTGGCCAAAAGCTCTTTCACAAGACTAGGAGGCACCAGGCAGATTTATTTAAGAGGCAACAAGATTCAAACTTTGTTTGAAATACCGATTTCAGTTTCTCACATCGATCTGAGCCACAATGAATTCGAGAAGTTGCCCGAGGAAGCTTGGCCTAGTATGAATTCTTTGCTCAGCTTGGATTTCAGCTACAATCGTTTCGGAGAGAACTTGGGACAAGGGAGTTTTACTAATTTGTTGACGCTGCAGAGGTTGAATTTGAATTACAATGGCATCGAGAATCCACCGTGGGTTGCTATCAGTGAGCTGACTTCATTGCAGTACCTTTATCTTGAAGTGAGTTGGGTTTGTAAACAAATTTGGTTTGTTCCAGAAGAAAATCTTGATTAGAATAAATATATTTGAAAGGTTGAATTGCTTCTTCTAGGGCAATAACTTGACAAGAATCAAAAGAAACGCCTTTGGGAAGCTCCCAGTAGTTTTTGAATTGAATATGGCCAACAACAACATTCACAATATAAGTGCCAGAGCATTCGAAGGACTTTTGCAAGTCCTTGTCCTGAATCTGACTAACAACAATTTGACTCATATTCCGAACGGAGCATTCCAAGGTAAGAGACACTGATGTTCCTTGATATATCCAGGGTGGTGCAGTTTGGATCTATAAAAGATCAATTTCAACTCCTGAGCCTTGTGAATATTGAGTGGAGTATTCTCCAAAAGCTCTACAAAAGGTATTTCTAATGACGAGAAAATGTATAGAGCGTTCATTAAAAATTCTCACAACTTTTCCTGTTTCCTCTATATCCCATACAGTTGATTCGATGAGAAGAAAAATCTCCCTGATGTGTGCAAGTTTTTCATTTATTTCCAAGTGAAGAACTTCTTAATCAGCTGTTTTTGAGATACTTTCGAGATAAAAATAGAAATAATCACTATATTTCTATGCGTCTTCCCCAGGTCTTGTATCCTTGAGAACTTTGGATCTATCACATAACAGAATTTCCAAATTGGACAACAAGACTCATGGCATACTTGATGATTGTCTATCGATAGAGAAGGTGGGCAAATCTGGTATACAAGCGAAGTCTAATAGATTATCTAACTATTTGAATTTTTTTTAGGTTGACCTGAGTCACAACAAAATCAGTTTTCTGTCAAGGAAATCATTTCCCAGTAATCCTTATATACCATACAAATTGAGGGAGATTGATCTTTCCTACAATTTGATGCCAGTTTTGACAATGGACATAACAGTTGGAACGTCAAAAGTTGAAACCTTGAATTTGTCGCATAATGCCATTGCTGATATCCGTACAGGTAACGATTATTACATAATTTCCTACTCTAATTGAAAAAGAATCAATCATTGTAAAGATGTAAGGTGTGAAATTTTCGTCTGAATCTTTCAGATTGGTGTACTGTTCAATTGTATAGTTAAGTTCTTCATTTGGAATAAGTTATACTGAATGTCCGTCTAGCCTATGTACAATACTGTTTCATTGTTCATACGCGTAGACAGACATTTAATTTGACAAGTAAGATAAATCAACTGTAAAATAAGTAATATAATGAAGAATTCAGACAACAATTCTAATAAATTTTGAATCTTTCGATTGCCGTCTTGTGGAAATGGAGATTTAAAATACCTCTTTTTAAAGATTTTGAAAGGGTTGATCTGTAGTGTAGGAGGTGGACCGAGAGGTGAACAGGTAAATAAAAATTTTTATGTAGAAACATGGATTTTCAAAAATAAAAATCGACCTAACCGAGGATACGTAAATTACAATTTTTGAATTTCATGAAATAACATTAACTCTGATTGAAAAATACAACTGAAAACTATACCTATTTTTTCGTGCGAAAACAATTATACTTTTCTTTCTAGGTGTTATCGGTAATATTACAAGTCTCAAATCATTGGATCTGTCTAACAACAAACTGTATGACCTAACCAGCGACGAGGAGTATTTCAGGTTGCCAGAAAGTATTTCCGAAATCTATTTGGCCAACAACCTGTTGGAGGAATTGCCATGGAAACATTTGAAGAAAGCCAATCAAATGTCTGTGCTCGATTTGCGAAACAACCTCTTCGAAAATTTCGTACCAGAACTGGTCGATTTGGTTAAGAAAAAAGTTGATGTTTATTTTGAAGGTATGAATGTTGAAAGTCTATAGCTACGTCAGTCTGAGGCAGTTAATTTTTGACATTGTGCCAATGTAACAAGACAGAATCGTTTTTTCTAGGTAACAGATTACAATGCGATTGTTTTTTGCGTCCGCTGTCTAGACATTTCAACAGTCAACTGGTTTTGAAGCCATTCTACAAAACAATCACCTGTTTGGGACCGCCATATTTGGCGAATCACACGCTATACGACCTTCCCGAAGAAAGGTTGAATTGTCCTGTGAATGCTAATATTTCGAAATTCAAGGAAAATATGCCAGGAGATTATGAAATTCTGTCGGACTTGAAATTCAGAGAGTTGTCGAAGTAAGTTATATACCTACACCAATAATTATGGGTAATATCATGCACAAGGGCATTGGAAAAGCACTGAATTCAACGGACGCATTGTACACCAACTTACCACTCGTGTGGTAAAATCGTTATTATCTGATCGATTTCGAAAAACTTTTCTTAGTTGGATTTCGGAAATTGATTTTATTCCTTGGACTGGTTATCGCGTGGCCAACTATTTAACCCATATTTCAAAAAGTGATATTATGGAGAATCAGAATCACTTAAAACATACCTTTACCGATTTTCATCATCAAAAAACACAGGGTGTCCGGAAAAACGAATTATTATTTTTGTGAAAACGTGATCAGAACATGTAGTACTTCGTTATTTTGGAAAGAACTGATAACGCAAATAATCATTAAGGACTACTTCGAACATATCTGTACCGATTTTTATCATTCAAATATACGATGTGTCTCAGAGTGTCTGAGAGAAACATTAAAAAGGATATATAAGCAGTGAAATTCTTTATCCAGTTAAAAAAATAATGATTCTTTTGTTTTTGACATCCTGTGTTTTATGATGATGAAAATCGGTACAGACCTATGATTCGAGAGTGATCTTGAATCAGAATCCGTATATTTTTCATGAGTAAAAAACTATCAAGATAAAAAATATTGCCTACTAATTTTCTTATTTTTTTTTCTATCAGACAAATTGTATATGATGTTATGATGAAAAAAATCGGCATTGAAGTAGTTCTCAATAGTAATTCATATATAAACTATAATAATTCGTATAATAATTCGTTTTTTCATGATGATGAAACTCGGTACGAGAATGATTTAGGTGATCCTGATTCAGAATACATCATTACTTTTAGTGAAAAAATCCCTTATAGTACAATTTAAAATATGGTTCAATAAAATAATTGGCCGCTGTTGGCCACGATGATATCAGTCCAAGAATAAAATCTCTTTCTTGTTGGATGGACATTTCAAGTACCTATCCAACGAAAAAAAAATTAGAAATCGATCAGATAATAACGATTTTACAAGTGTGGTAAGTTCTTAGATTGGACACACTGTATATTGGGATTCAGCTTTCCATGGAGATTTCAAGAATTCAATAATATATAGGGTATTTCGTTCGGAAAAACCGTCGTGGACGTCTTTACTGAAATGTGTTTTACCCTGTATATTTAATTTTCCCGTATAAATGTTACATCCGGAGATTCTTCAAAAATGTTGATAGTTTGGCTAAGCATGAATTTATTCAGTAGGTACTCTATACGAAAGCACTCCTAGCGAGCACAAAAACATCTCAGAGATGTTAAAAGTACGAGATTTCGAGACATATTGAACCTCCACTGCGATGTTCTGTTCACACATAAACAGAACTATTATAGAACAGCCAATGTCCGCCGCAGGCGGCAATTATCGAGATGTCCTTGATATGTCACAAAACTACCTTCCCCCTAGTTCTTTTTAAAGCCTTTTCATGGACACAACAGAACATTTTCAACGCGTCTTGCGCACATTGAATCGCTGTAAAAAACCATTTTCGAGGTACTTTTCTGAAGCCTTTTGTCAAAATGAACTTTTGCATTAGGATTCAATTTCCCGTGAATGAAAAAATGCATTAAAAATAGAATGAACATAAAAATATTTTCTTGATATGAAATCACTTTCTTAATCGGTTTCTGAGTAGTGCTTACTACACACAGACATATAATTGGAAATAGGTTTCCCAATTTTTGAAATGTTCTCCACAATGCATAATTTTGCAACTGCGGAAAAGCTGTGTATTGATGAATTCGTACTTTTATATATTGATTACACTCTGAGGCACCGAACAACACATCTTGCATCTGATGGTCATTATTACAAACTAAATAAGTCTTCTAACACAATAAACTTCAACAAATTCCTTTCTGTTCGTTAGCAGCGTGATGTAAGCGTGACATGCTGCAAACGCGAATGCCAATTGCGAACAAGAAGAACAAAATCGAAAACAAATCAGAATTCATCGTATTGTGACGTAAGCATGAGACGTTGTGGTGGGGCAAACAAAGAAAGGGCACAAAAGAACAAAAACAATACTTTCAATATCCTTCTAAGACCTCTTTGGGAAGTGCATATTACGCCTCAAAAAAACATCCTCATGCCTACATTTCTAAAACATCCCAAAACATCCCAGGGATACCTCTCAGTAGGTAAACAAAGAAATGCCACAGAAGAACAAAACAATACTTCAATATCCTTCAAAGACCTCTTTGGTCAGTGCATATTACGTCTCAAAATAACATCTTCATGCCAACATTTTCAAAATATCCCAAAACATCCCAGGGATGTTTGTGCTCGCTGGGCTGTATAAACTTTGTAAATTTGACCTCTTTCAATTTTACCGGAAATGTTTTTTAAAATTCAGAAATATCCTTGTACAGAAAAAATATCTTTTCATAAACTTCACGAAACATTGAAAAACTCTTTGTTGAAAACCTGATATGCTCATGTTCTTCCAGAAAAAACAACATCTTCAAAATAAAATGGAGGGTCATGAAAGAATCCGACATAGGCGATACGGAGATTTTCATCCGAGAAAACGTCAACGCTGCTGTCGATGTAGTTTTTCATGCGACGTTGCCGTACTTTAAGCGATCCTTGGACATCGACATCAGCAAAGATTTCGACAAGTCCGTCAAGAACGTGAAAGGACTGCAGATATGCCTGCTGGCGAAAAACAGTCTCGGGAATGTGAGGAGCTTTTATGAAGAACAGTGCAAGGATTTGTCCAAATCGTCTAGTACCAGAAGGATGGCGAACAGTTTCTGTGGTTTCTTGTTATTTATTGTTTTTAAATATGTGATAATTTGAATAAATACATTATTTGTTATGATCCCGCAATATAAACTTTTATAGTGGCAAAAATTAGCGAAATATCGAATAACGATAAATAGGCGCTGAATACCCCAAATAGGTTCTTCAAATATTATTTCCGTAGCAGACTGACAGTTGTCCTATTCAACCACGAAATGGCCACAATGCTCAAAGTGGGATGGAACGTTGAATGAATAAAAAAAGTTCAGTCATTTCAACACCATGTTCATAAAATGAACAATAATGGTTGATTTCGGGAGAAAAGCAACTACTTTCCTGGCTTATGCCACGCATAGAACATTGAATGAATCACCCCTCCTGAAATCTATGCATCGACTCGTTTAAACGAACACTGATACAACACTGAAGAAAATAGTGATATTAGAGTTTTTGCTGAGATATTTCTTGCTACCATTACAAGAAATCATATTACCGTTTATAGATTTTCGAATAGAAGCAGCACCTTGAAATCCTATGATAGCAATAACGACTTTGCTGAAAGTGAATTTCCTGCCACAGAAAGATATACTGCTGTCGCTATCAGGCAGCCACTCTGGAATAGCATGATTTTTTTTATATAATTGTCTAGCTGAACTACTACTAGTGAATTATATACTTGTGGCTGCGAGGTTCATCGCATAGAACTGCACTCACTTCCAATAATACAACTGTCAGTCAGCCATGAAAATAATATTTGACAATTTGACGAACCAACTTGGGGTTATTTAGCGCCTACTCATCGTTATTCGATATTTCGCTGATTTGTCCCCCTCTATGTAAACATTTGTCAGACATCTTGCTTGATCAATCATTCACAGTTTAGTCCAGTCATTATATCCAAATAACGGACCTTACCCGTGAATAATTTTTTAGTGGTTTTTTTTTCATAGGTGTCTCGGGGGGGTATATGTTTTTGTTAAAAAACAGTTTTTCTTGAATAACTCGGCCATTTTTGATTCTACAGAAAATGTTTGGGGACAAAAATTGTAGTAAATTTAGTTCTCTACAAGTTCGGTCCTTACAATTTTTCTGATAGGATCGATATTTTGTAAATTAAACCTGAAAAAACGACAAATTCGAAATATTTTCATTATCTCGTTTATTTTCAACTTTACGGCATAAATGAACAGAAACAAACTTGTAGAGAATCAAATTTTGGACAAATTTTGTCTTCACCTGTTCTTTCGAAAATCGATATTTTCGGAATTAAACCTAAAAAAAAACGACTCATTCGAAATATCATCATTATCTCGTTTATTCTCAACTTTACACCATAAATGAGAAGAAACAAACTTGTAGAGAATCAAATTTTGGACAAATTTGGTAAAAAAAATAGTTCCGGAACCATTTTTTCACACCGACATGACAGACAAGCTACCTGCGCGGAATAACCTCTTCATTTATGCCGTAAAATGCGAAGCATTGGAGATGATAATCTTTTGAATTTGTCACGTTTTTCAGGTTTAATTCCCAAAATATCGATTTTTGGAATAAAAACGTAATAACCAAAATTCTTTAGAATTTGATTCTCCACAAGTTGAGTCCTCTTCATTTATGTCGTAAAGTTGAAAAAAACCGTTTTCGAACATACGCAAAAGCTTGATTTCGTCGCCATTTTGAATTTACACTCCCAGTGACCCCCCCGAGACACCTATGAAGAAAAAAACCACTAAACAATTATTCACGGGTCAAAGTCTATAATGACTGGACTAGTTGGGCTCTTGATGCAACCATGTACAGGACGACAATCTCGACGGCACGACAGTTACGAATACTTCCCTTCTTGAATTCAATTCATTATTTGATATCTGAATCTGAATTCAAATATAGAATGGAAACATTTTCAAACAAATAAAAAAATCTTCTGTGTCCCTTTCAGTGATTTCGTAGATCTGAGTCCTTCAGTTATCACTAGGATTGATGGAATGATAAAGGTGAGTTTTTTCGAGGTATTTCGACTGAAATTCAAATATTCTACATTCAACATCCCCTGTTTTGGGCGGTGTGTAATGATCATCTCATTTACACAGTTTTTATATTGCAAAAACGCGCAGTAAAATATATGTGCATAGCAAAAATTCGTGATACCTGCAAACCCCTTTTCATAAAACAGAAAATTTCAACAGTTTATGCGATCTTTGTCATGGAAACGGTCTGTTTAATTAGAAAACATCTCGGAAAATTTTACACTTTCCCTGCACCCCGACAAGCTAGAAACATCAAGTTACCAATTCCATCATCGGCTCTACTTAGAGATTCAATTATTTATGTAGGCTGTAAGATGTTCAATCATTTGCCAGAAGTTATCAAAGAAGTTGGATCCAATAAAAAATTCAAACAGAGAAAAACCCTACTTTCTCTTGTATTGTAGGGAAGGTCATTTTCAGAGACCAATTACACGTATTGCTATTGGTATTCAAGTAAGTACCTATACTAAGTGAAGACGTTTGCAAAAAAAACAGTTATTTCTAATAATTATTACTTGACATCATTAGGTAAAATCTCACAATTTATTTTCACCGTTGAATATTTCAATAATAACTAAAGATAATCTAGATGTATCGGTAAAGTAACTTTTCTGATCCCATCCCACGGCGACGATATTGATCTGGCTAATTATTTCATGATTAAAATAATTAGGAACAACAATGTGACATATCCTTAGTAGGCAATTCTTACCAAATAATTGCATATTACAAGAGACAATGGCTTTATCATAAAAACGGTAAATATTTTGTCGTTAAGCATGAGAATTTGAAAAATAGGTAAATCAGCATCGTGGAATAATAATAGTGAAAATCTTTCATATAAATTGGGAATTATTGTTGGTGATATCGGAAATCAAGTTACTTATACAAAGTCCTCTGGTACACTAAGCGGAGACTTTTTCATCAATGCAAAATAACTTTATACTATTATAAAAAACATACCTAAATCAATATCGATATTTTTGTACCGTTGTAGTCAGAAATGTGACGAACCAATTAATTAGTAAATAATGATAGCTAAAAAATGAAATATATCTAGTAATCAAATCAAAATTATGTTTGATGGAAATTTCGAAAATTCTTCATACTGGCAGTGGCGCGCAGTTTCACAATGAAGCCGAAAGATATAATGAAAAAGAATGGAATAAAAGTTATAGAAACTTATGTCCATATTAAAATGAAATTATAAAGGCAATTGCAGAAATAAAATAATGGAATTTCTTGTTTCAGAATTCTTATCATACAATTTCTAATAAAGTTTCTAATTACACCTATTAGAAAAAAATATTTTGGATGATGTAACGTCGGGATGAAGCCTTGAAGCCATGAAAAAGTATATATTAAATTACTGGAATTCGTCGTGAATAATGCGAAACAATAATCATGGCCAATTTTAATGTCGAAATATGAAAACTATTACGAATCCGTTTATTTATAAGTAGGAAGGTGTGCATGTACAGTCGTCTTCAGAAAACATATCTCATGTGGACGACGATGTAGCACTCCATATAGTATATAATTTCACACTGAGAGCGCTAGTGCTTCCAATTGTGACATGTTCTGAAGAAGACGGAACATTTATACATGCAGAATTTAACTGACAAAATTTTCAGGATATTATATATTATTATCAGTTGTATGATGTCATGTTTTGAGGCTGGCCAGCTCATAATAGATTTCCCTAGTGTCTCTATATTTATTTTAATGATAGTAATATATTATTTGATTATATCAATTATGAAATCATCATGTGCCAGACTGTCATTAACACGTTGAGTATATTAAATGTGGAGAGTTATATCATTCAATCAATAAGTATTACTGTTTATTAATAGTATTTATTAATAGAATGGCGATACTTAAGGGTTATATCTTTTTGATAATAAAATCAAAGGTACGAATTGACATAGTTGTTGAGATACATAGAGTTTTCCAAAATAATTTTACCCAATATTTATTCTTGAACATCTTTCTCAATTTTGGTAGGTATTCAAGTATATATACAGGGTGAATCTGAAAGTGAGGTTTTTTATTTAACAGGGCCAAAATGAGTAGTTTTGACCTAATGCTTCAATTCCCTCCTAAAGTTTTTTGGTTCAGTTTAGAACGATAATTATTAGGTTGAAAATGTGAAAAGTGGTTTTTGATTAGTGTTTCTGATGGAATAATGCAACTGTAGGGTATCTAATGCTATATATTCATATATATGGACTAACAACGTTTTTTTTTGCGCTTTTTTTTTTCTTGAGAAAATAAAAACAAAATACTCCAGAGTTAGGTCTTCTCTTATTTTTCATGTGAGCAATTCTTGCCAAACAACTTATTTTGGTGAGATATGGATCCTGGTAAAAAACACCTCACTTTCAGATTTACCTTGTATAGCGTGAGTCATAACTATTCAAAAACATACGCTAAGGATGGCTTGTTTATATCAGAATATGGCGATAGGGACAAAGTTGACTCGATAAAATATTGCTGTAGAAAAAGATACAGGACGTTTCAATCAAAAAAGTATTGACTATATATTGACTATAAACACGCACCATGATTTCTGACAAGAAATGTCGTCATTCACCAGCAACAATTATCTAATAGTCCAAATCAGACTTTTCATAAATCAAATGTCCTAATAGTAATGACACACTCTGTACATATATAGGTTTCTGGGAATACTCGATTACTATGTATATACTAGGTGTTTCTGAATTTAGAGCGATAAGTTTGAAACGAAGAAGTGTTGAAGTATGAGACTTAATGATACAGTAATTATTGATCATTAGGTTTAATATACTTATAATAGGTATAGGTATATATCATCCAATTGATATATTTTATTTTCGACCAAAGCATTTCATTTATCGCTCCATAATCTCGGAAACACCTTATGTGTACATCACGTACAGGAAATTTGGATTCCGGAATTTTCCAAGTATCAAACAGCATTTTGTTAAAGGTATAAAGTTGCCATAATTGAACCGACCCTGAATATCATATTATTATGATGGATATATTTTTTTATACCTTGTTTCGTACCCCACTGATGCTTGGTCGACATTCAAATGCTAATTAGTTAAACAATCTGCGCACAGATTAATATTTGGACATTCGTTTTACCGTTTTTAATGAGTCACTTTTTTTCTAATTTGGCAATGAGGTGGTATCGAAAATCACGATTCTGGGTTTCGCCTATACATCTACAAAATAATCTACATTAAGTGACGGGATTTAGAAAATTATACAGACTACCTACGCGCGACTATCAACTACCTACAAAATTATAGCTATATATATCACATTCGTTTGTTTATACAGGTGCGTCACTTTTAGTAGTTCTCTAACAGTATACGCATATAAGCAAGGAGAAGTAACTCTCAACAACGAACATTTTTAGAAGAGAAACTATAGAGTATAGAGTATAATATACAGGGTGTTTCAAAAAAATCTAACCCGCTTGCTAGGGTAGGTAGAACATTGCAAAATAAGTTGGGTTTGCTCAGTAAAAAAATGTCGTAACGCCATCCGTTTTCAAGATACAAGGTGTTGAAACAATATTTTTCTTACACTTTTTTCACGATTATGTTGAAACTACTGGCAATATTGTGATGAAATTTTGTATGGATGTTTCTTGGAATCTGACACATCGCATGCATTTGTTTTTATATCTGACTCTCATAGAGGGCGCTAGTTACACGATTCGTACCGAGTAGTTTTGAACATTTTGAACACCTATTTATTGAAAACCGAAATCAACAATACATTTCTGATGTTGAACTTATTGATTTAACAATGAACCACAAGAATAACATCGAAACAGATTTGATTAAGAACATGGATTACACAGTTTTGTTGTATCTTGATCAGAAAGTCTATGCTACATAGGTAAATTCACGTCAATAGTTAGTTGTAAGACATAATTGAACAATACTAAAATGTCCTAACAACTGATCCTCAACTGTGAAGAAGAATATTACATTCTTAAGAAAAGAATATAAAATCGTTTTTTCTTCGAAACGTAGGACATTTTGAACATTTACTCTAACTGATTCAATATTTCATGTTTCGAATCAAATATCTCTCAATTTTCTACTTATGATTCTTCATTCCATCAATAACTTCAGCACAAGAATAATTTTATTGTTTTCGAATCTGAATAAATAGGTAATTGAACTCAATGAAATTCATTTTATACCAGCTTCAGCTATTACTCCATTATTTTCAAATTGAAATATTCCGAAAACGGAACATAGTATCGAGTTTCAGCAAAAGTACCTTTTTAGTGTGAAATTGAATGATGTTCAAGTTCATATCATATTTGGATTGGAAAATATAACCTCAAAAAAGTTATGTTCTAAACTACTCGGTATACGAACTCTGTAACTAGCGCCCTCTATGACAGTCAGATATAAAAACAAATTCATGTGATTCAGATTTCAAGGAACATTCATACAGAATTCCATTGCAATGTTGGCAGTAGTTTTGATATAATCGTGAAAAATGTGTGAAAAAATTAATTTTTCAACACCTTGTATCATGAAAACGAATGCCGTTACGACATTTTTTCACTGAGCAATCTCAACTTATTTTGTAGTGTTCTACCTACCCTAGCAAGGGGGTTAGGTTTTTTTGAAACACCCTGTATATGCCTTCAAAAATTAGTAAACAATTCGTATGGTACTACTGAGGTATATTTTCATCAGAGGCATATCTAAATTGCAGTAATCTCTAAGAAATTAGCCGCTCCATCTAAATCATGGAGTAACATTTTCACAATGAAATTCTTCAAGAATATATAATTAATTTGAAAGCACAATGTTAAAGAATAAATCGCCATTAAAAAATGGAGTTGTTTTATCCACATCAAATGATACGTTTCTGATATGAATTCTGAAATTTCGAGCTGAGAATCTAGTTTGGCGAAAATGTTATACATTGTACTAAATTTCAATACTACAGGGTACGCATCGATATAAAAAAAATACTATTTTCTCGGAAACTATACGAGCCCTATTCACATGAACTAGAAATGTCTTTATATAGGTAAAAATCCTCCAGGTATCTTAATCTGAAATCATGTGACGAAAAAAGACCAATAGAAAATGGGATTGTTTTTACCTTTAACTTCTTCAGCATAATACGCCCTTGAATGAAAATTTGAAATGATGTGCTCAAATTCGGATTGAACATAAAAAGTTTATTCCATGTACAAAATTCCATGATTTTTGGCTGAACGGTTTCTGCAAAATTAAGGAGAACCGCCTTCAGGGTGCCCTATTAGAAAGGGGCATTTTATGACATATTTTCAATAGATGATTTTTTTATAAAATACCATAGAAATCGCCTCACGAGTTTTTTACCAATGATTAGGACAACTGTCTCCTCACAATGATTGTTTACACAGAGTCGATTTTTTATTTTGGTGGATTCAGTCTGAATCCGGCGAAGGAAAATTGCTCTTTCGCCAAAACTTTAAAACGTGTGTAGCTAGGTATAGTTTTTAAAGGTCAGTAGGTTTGATTGAATGCAAAACTATGAATTTTCTAGTAATTATGCTGTAATCATCAAGCTAGAATCGTCGTGTATAGTTATTGACAATAATTCTTGTTTTATATGATGAAGTTTCAGGAGTGCTATAGACCGATAAATCAATTTTTTTCATTATAAACCATATTTTTACCGCAAGGTCTTGGGTCACCCGGTATAACTAATATCGTGGTCGCGAAGGTCATCAGATGACGTTCCGATGACATTAAAATTCACGGGAAACATGTGTAACTTTCAATCTATACCAGGAGCTATGATGTTTTTCCGTAGTTTATTTCCACAGCTTGACGTTGTATTTTCGTATAGAGGTGAGTTGTAGTACTTTGTTCTGGGACACCTTGTATATCGGTAGCACCCTGTATATAGGTATCGAGTAACAACCTTCGTCCAACCACCGACCATGTCCATATGTGACACAGACAGACATAAGTATACCTATACGAAACCTCAAATCGCTAAAAGCCTCAGACCACCGCGACAAAAAAGACGAAGAAAAATGCCGAAACAGAAAGAGAAAACCGCTTCTTTCCTATGCAACCATTGAAATCACTCGCGAGTCAAGTCTGCCTCGCCATGTCGTATACTCAGTCGTATCTGCGCGACGCAAGCGAATGTTAGTCCAACGCCTGCTCTGCTATATGGGACTTTTATATCTAGAGATAATGACAAACAAAACCGTGACTTAGTTCTTTGGTCGTTTCACTTTCTAGACCCGGTATTCGAGTGAGCGTATTATACAGATTGTTATTGGGTGACTTTGAGAGAGAAGATGGAAAAGACTGTGGCTGTTTTGCTTGCATGTATCGCGATATGCAGTGCCAAAGGTAAGTCGATGATATTGTATTGATTGCAGCATTTCCGAATGCTTGCGAAACCATCTAGTTACTCATTATGTGCAACATGCAACACCTTTCTGCTCGAAGCGTGTCAATGTCAACAAAGCACTTTCTTCGAGTTGAGGGTGACCGATAAAAGGCTGATTTATTGTTTCAAATACCTATACAGGGTGTCCCAGAAGTCATGGATCAAGAGGGGTGGGGTGGTAGGGAGGGTAATTTCCAATCAAACTACAATCGTATTTATGTGGTTATTCAATTGTTGACGGTTCAAAAGTCATCAATTTTTTTTCATTCCCATAAAAAAATAATAACAATAAAACTATGTCACATTTGTGATTTCTTTCTTTTACAAATTTCATTCTCATGGATTTACCTTTCCCCAGAAATAGCTCATGACCTGATGTGTTACTTCGTATCAATTACCTAAGAAAAATGTTGTTTTAAACTCTATGTATTCAATAGAATCATGGTATATTTAATATTTTGACAGTATTTAATACTTTGCATGGTAACACCATGGATGAGTTTGATTATGATGAGTATGCACATGTCATTGCGTATATGGACTTGCAGAAACTTTCAAGGTCAATAACTCCGAACTAACAAATGAAGTCCGAAAGACATTATTTCATATGAAGTACTAACATTATTTTGCCCTATCATTCACGACATGATGCTAATATTCAAGGGAGCGATTCTTAGACCCATTTCAATTTAAATCTTCCTATGAACGAATCTGTCGTTAACATTTTATAAACTTTTGAGATCATGGTATCAAAGTTGAAAATATGCATAGACTCTTTTTTCGTCCAACCTGTATATAGCTTTTCGTGATGACAAAAATATGGTTATCCAGCAATAATCCTACCCATTCAATCACTCCCAGGTAGGGTACTGCGTTAGGCACCAGAATATCAAGAATTTTATTTTAGCGGCTATTTATAGAAATTCATTGAAAATTATTTTTTATTTTCAAGTTTAACACCCCTCAAACAAAGCCTTCTACGACTTTGGCTTATGGAAACTTTTTCATTTTCTTGAGACGCCCTATCACTTCTTGAAGTGGGTCCCACATATTACGAAATACCCTGTATACATTACTTTTGGTAAATTAATCAATTCATGTGGCAAAGAAAATTGATCGATTTTCATTAATTCCTCATTCAAAAAAAGCACCACATAAAATTCTGAAAAATCTTCACAATATTTCTTGAAATAATAATACATTCTATAGTTACTGATACTTTTCAATTTGGACTAGTATGTCTAGGAATGAACATAGACTAACCAGGAGGTAATGATTCATATCATACAATCATCTTCTGTAGATATATTATATGAAACAAAATTTCAATGGCCATCCTCAAGATATACCTGGGTATAATTCTCATAACAAATCTCAATCAGCCATACATCAGAAACAACTTTCGAAATTTCTAATCATAGTCATTCACCAGTCATTGTTATTAACTGTATACCTGTACACCTACCACCTGACATTTAGATTTCAAGGCAACTCGCCGTATATCAGAGATACTCGTCCAGAACACGTGACTTTATATGGAAAACAAAAGTGAAACGCTTTTAGAATAATTCGAGGAATTATTTGATCTTTAACTGGGGTGTGTTGTCAGAAGAACGATGTAGTGTTGATTTGATTAAAAATTGATTTGGGTCACACGTCAGAATATATATCAACGACTTACCACAGCACTTGAGTTCAAATGTACCTACTTACACTATTTGCTGACGACACATCTATAGCGGTCTCAACAGGATCCCCTGAGGAGCTTCAAGGATAAGTTGAGGATGTCATTCAGAAGTTTTCTAGCCGGTGTAACAGAAATGGATAGAGTTTGAACTGCGGGAAAACTGAATGCATATACTTTCATGCTATTTCTCAATATTGGAGACTATAACATCAACAACTTGTCCAAAATTCTTAGGAGTCTACGTTGATCACAATCTGAGGTGGACTGATCACCTAACGCACTAAGTGAAAAAACGTAATTCAACCTACTTTGCGAATTCACGGATAAAACATTCTTTGCCCACAGATGCCTTATTGAATGTCTATTACAGCCTCGCATACAGCAATCTGACCTATAACATTGTCTTATGGGGTCAGTAGATAGGCAGAAAATATTTGTTGCTAAAAAAAATTATAAGGAAAATTTTTAACATGCATCATTATGATTCTTGCAAGCAGGTCTTTATATCAAACATAACCTCATGTCTTTTCCATGCATCTACATCATATACAGAAGCTTACTGTATGTGAGAGAAAATATATCCAAATATATCGAAAAGTCATCATTATACATAATTACGAAACCAGACATTCTGACTTTTTATCTATCCCTAAACACAACACCAACAAATTTGAAAATCACATTTCATATATGGGAATCAAAATGTATAACCATCTTGCCAGTAAATACGAACTTATCAATGATTACCTCTCAAAAATCTATGAAAGAATTATTACTGTTAAAGATCGAAAATTATCGACGTGAAATTTTTCAACAGTAGGGACACCTGATGCGTTGTAGGCATCTTCATCATTCTTTTGAAGTAATCAAATATCTGATGTCACTTCTGTCAGTCTAATTCTGTGATTTGATTTCAAAAAATTGCAATTTAGTGGTTGTTTAGTAATATACGTAACCGCGAAGTCGAATGGAAGATAAAAGGTAGGACACAATCATGTTTATATGAACTTTATTTCCTAAAATATCATAAGGAATCTCCCCTTGAATTTTTTCGGTGCTATTTAGATACAGCCTCTATATCGATGTGCTGAATATTATATGTAATTATTTCAAAAACACCTTGTATAAGTAATCTGGGAAAGCAATAAAATATATATAGCACCAAATTTAATAGAGGTTATGTGTGTGGTTTGGACAGAACAGCCTCTACAAGTATAAGTGCGGCGTGAGCATTATATACTTCTTCAATCCTTTATCCTGTGTTTTTTTGCTGAAACAATAAATTTCAGTTTCTTTGTTTCTGTTTCGAAGAACTGACATCCAGTCAGACAATTGGTGATGATAAAACGGCGCTACACGGCGAACAATAAAATTGAACAATAGAATTGCCAGATTTGGGCGCTGGAGATTTCAACGGGTAGTTAGACACGAAACCAAATTCGGAATGAATGGAAAAACGCGATTTTTAGTCATTCCATCTTCCATCGTAAGGTCAACGTTCCCTCGATCGCCCCATGTGTCTGGCTTCTTCATTTCCTCGAAGGAAGTCGAGAAAAATCAAGATAAGAATATAATGCTAATAAATTGGATAATGACGACACGAAGAGAGAATAAGACGGGTGATAATATATCATGCCATTCACATGCAAGCAAAGGTGTTTTTAGTTGGTATATTTTTCAATTCTCTATACATTTTATATTTATATATTTTTCTTCTCTCTTCTTTGTTATAAATGGGAAAAAATTAAACAGAATTTGAATCTTCCTGTTTAGGTGCCTAAAGACAAAAATGAGCAATATACTTAACTAAAATGTATTATACAGTGTGTCCCACTTAGCATGCTCACCATGGGTATCTTTTAAACGGTGAGAGATACGAGGTCGTTTAAATGACACCAAATGTGGAGTTTGTCAGGGCCAACTATAATGTGAAAAAATATTTTAATAAAATCTATTCGTTTTTGTTTTATACGCAAAAAATAGATTTTGATCATTTTCATGTCTCCTCCGTAACTTCTTTATTTATGAAAATATTCAAATAGGAATTTCACATTCTCATGGCAGTTTTTCAAAGTGATTTCGAAAAGCATATGAAATTTATACCAACTCTTCTAGAATTTGAGATATCAGCACCAAATTTAGTTTTTCAAATGTAGGTCATAGCTCACTATGACTTAGTTACAAATAACTTTTTTTTCTCCTACAGATGATATGTCGCAGTAATAGTTTTGTGAACAACGGAGTTATCGTCATTTATACAAAAACAAAAAAATTATTCGGAAGCCGCCATCTTGAATTTATAAATTTTAACAAAAAAATCATGATCTCCGACCTCAAAAACCCCCACTTACCAATTTTGAAGACAAATACATTATGGAATTTTTGTTGAAATTAAAAAAAATGGCTGCTCCAAGATGGCGGACAAGATTTGGTCCGAAAATGATCAAAATCTGGTTTTTGTGTATAAAACAAAAACGAATAGATTTTATCAAAATATTGTTTCACTTTATAGTTGGCCTTGACAAACTCCACATTTGGTGTCATTTAACCGACCTCGTATCTCTCACAGTTAAAAAGATACCCATGGTGAGCATGGTAAGTGGGTCACACTGTATATATATAGGATAATGTTTGGTATCTTTTGTTATAGGGAAATGGTTATCTAGCAACATCAATTTCGTCAAGACCACACTTTTTCATGAAGTTTTTGGGAAAAAAATTTGGCCGGTAACATTGACAACAAAAAATGGAAGATATAAACATGTATAAACAATTTCAGGCTGCTGTATCAACCATCAAGTTTTTTATAATTAAAATTGTTGCTTCATAATAATATACGAAAAATGATAGACACTTTCTTTGGTGGTTTCAAACCACACCCATTGATGTGTCGACCATCTTTCAAGAATGAGATACCTGACGTTATCTTGATTTAGACAAACTCCTCATATGGTAGTATATATCTTCTGAACAATTTTGTATAATCTATTTAAATATATCCAGGTACGGCTTCAGGTAAAACAGTCAGTCATGTAATTACATTCTGACGGTATAGCAACATTCTGCAGATTTGTTCCGATATTAATAAGGCATAATAATTATGCAGAAACTTAAAAACGTTAGGTACAACACAATACAAGAACCAACAATTGACTCAATGTTACCATGCATCCAAAAATATCACACTTTATACGTATAGCAATTAAGAACTGTCAGAATTCAGGAATTTTATGGGACTAATTTGGAACCACGAAAGTATCTATATACCTACAG